TTAATTCTATGGACTTGTTTCAGTATGTTCAATGTTTATTTATCAATGTATTATGTCTGCAGGGTTGGTTGAAACTACAAGAAAGGTATATTTCTGTCTTTATTAACACAATAAATAATAAAGCCAGCAAGGATTATATCCACGTCTATGGATTTAAAGGACAGGTGCGCCATTTTGGGGATTTGATTTGAGTCTGGAATATATATATGTTAATTATAGTCTTCAGAAGTACTTAAAACTAGGAATTTCTGTTTTTTCTATTTATATAGATGTCTTTTCTATATATGACAGTGTCTCAAGAAAAAACGTCTCGTCTTTTTAACTTTCGGATAATTCTGGACACACATATAGATTTGAATGCTCAAATTTCGATGGAGAGCTGTATACACTATTACTGACTTAAAAATTGCCGTCTTTCAGACTAAGGTATGATTGGTCCACAAAATGGTGCAATTGTTCCTTTAACTCAATGGGAAAAAAGAAAATATTTTCTATACCAGCCGATCTGATAGATTGAATTTGTTAAATAATATCAATAATTCCGTCTGCTAACTGTATGTTATATATCAAACTTGTCAGGTAATTAACACTGGTAGAACCAGTTACAATGTTAGTCATATAAAATGTCCCCTCATCCAACTGAAGTATGAATCAGTTTTGAAAGTACTAAATAACTTCAGGGTTGATACATGCTCAGTCTCCGGCTTTACTTAAATAATGTCATTCGTCAACCATTCATACTTCACTTGAATGAGGAGACATAATTTTCCGTAAAGCCTTCGGTTTTCACATGTTTAAAAAGAAACTTAAAAGCTTCAAAGCTGATTCAAAATGGTCTAACTGTTCCAGGTCTGGCCAGTGGAATACCTCAGACCAGCTGGTAGTCGCTGGACCGTGGCGAAGTAAATGAGCGGGGATGGGGATGACCCTGGATTTGGTCTTAATGATCTAGAACTGGCCAGTGGAATACCTCAGACCAGCTGGTGCCTTGGTGAGTTGATTGAGCTGGGATGGGGATGCTCCTGGATTTGGTCTAAATGTTCTTCTAAAAGATGATATAAGAGATTTAAAAGAAGAAAATGTTAAACTAAAACTTCATATATATATAGGATTGAAAATAGAGAGCATCAAAATAATATCATATTTTATGGTCTAAATGAAAAGAATGGCGAGATAGAATCAAAAGAAGAGAAATTAATTAGAGATATTTTGATTAATGAGGTCAGAATAAATAGTGTTTAGAACAATGAACAGTTCCAAATAAAGGACATATATAGACTGGGTTCAAGAAAACCTAACCGTCACCGACCCATATTAGTACAATTCACCAACCACAAGGATAAAGAGACGGTTGTAATCCAATGTAGAAAAGAACTCAAATCTAAACCAATCTCAGTATCAGAGGACTTTATTGAACGAGTTCGATCAATCAGGAAGGCTGAAAGCCAAAAGTGAACAAAAGCGAGCACACCTCAATTATGATAAACTCATAATCGAAAGCGTCACTTATACAGTGGACATGACAACAGGTGAACTCTTATGTATAGAAAAATGAAATAAATAGCAATCACCTTCCCAAAATATAACATTTGTGGATCAATTATTTTCTATAAATTCGCACAATTGCCATAGTCTAAGACGCATAGAAAATGATCCAGATGTCATAACTTTAGTTGAATCTACATCAATAATTGCCTTCTGTGAAACTTGGATTTACGATAAAGAGTATGTCTTTTACCGTGGCCCATTGGGGACATTTGCAATTTTTTTATTTTTCGACGTTTCTCAGTGGTTTAAGAGCAGAAGAACTGCAGAAAACAGGAATTGAAATTGTGAAAATTCGAGAAACCGACAATAAATAGAAGGAATGGAGGGAAATAGAGAAACTTTAAATAGAAAGATGACACAAAATACATAAAAATCACAAAAATTCATAAAAACAATAATTAATCAAAATCGTAAAAATAGTTAAAACGTGAAAAATTAAATTTGCCAAAATATTATGAAAAACACAAAAAATTCAAAGTGAAATCGCAAAAATTAATTTCAACCGCGGTGGTAATACATTTCAACCGTGGTGGTAATACATTTCAACCGCGGTGGTAATACATTTCAACCGCGGTTGAAATTAATTTTTGCGATTT